GATATGTGTTGGGAGGGCAGTGCTATGAATGCAAGGTGAGTTTGTAGGCAGGAGAAAAGGAAGAGAGTGGCACTTGAGTGAATCATGAGGTAAAGAAGAGGCAGGTCTGGGATGCCTGTTTAAATTAAAAAACTAATCTTAAAGGCTTTTGTTCTGTTTGGAAATTTTTTCATGTATTTCTGACACTCTTGAGGTGGAGTCAAAGCTCAGATCCACAGCTCTTCTTTCTCCCTGCCTCCTCTAGAACGGAGTACTGTGATCCAGCTTAAACTAAATGTTGGGGTTTTTTATACCCCTCTAAAAAATTAAAAAGAATTTAGATTCATCAGGTTTAGCTTATGACTCAATGAGGGCAGGTAGTGCTACAAATTATTAAGTTTCTCTTTAAACAGAATACGCATTGTTTAGAACAGTGACCAGGTCTTCCTCTGTCTTTATAAAATGCCTACTGTAGTAAGCCCCTGAACTTGATTAGGAAATTTCAGTGCTGTCACAATTCAAACAATAATAATAATGTAGTAGTACTGGGCAAGAAACTCTAAAACCAAAGTGCCCTAGATAATGTTTGAACTGATTTGTGGTTTCAAGTGGAAACCAGTTGAAGCTGGATTGTATGAAATGGTTTCAGCCCCATAATCATCACAGCTGTTACCAAGTTTCTTACTGGGTTATAACTTTATTTAAATTCAGTGCTCAACATAAAACAGAGACAGTGCTGAATGTCTCTGAGGAAGTTCTGAGGCAGATGGCATCGTGTCTTATATTCCCAATCCATCAGAGTTATTTTCCGCTCCAGGCTGTTGTCGCCCCCTGCCCCCATTCAGGGTAACATTTTAGACTTCCTCGAATAATAAGGAGATTTGTTGTTGACTTCAGCAGGTTTGGGATTTCAGTTCTGGAGATACAAATCTGTCTTACCGGCTCAACAGGGCAGAATGTCTGTTCTTACTTGCTATCCCTACCTAGCGTGGTGGGAAATCTCCTTTCACATAGGTGAGATGCTCAGTCTCCTGTACTTAAGTTGCGCTGTGTGGGAAGTATGATGGACTCAGCACTAATGCCTTACTAGAAGCACTTACCAATAACATACAGAGGTTACACTGCTTTTCTCATGTCAGAAATACAAAGGAGGTAACAGGAGGAGCAGCCAACATTCTGCTATCTTTTTTTTTTTCAGTTGAAATTTAGACCAAGAGCGTGTTATCTTTGGTAACAAGGTGTAGGACGGTTTCCAAGTCATCGTCTTTTCATCTGAATATTTAATAAGAGGTGTCGTGTATCAGAAGGCTTGGCATGCCTCTTTGAGATCATGCTGTGCTGTGCTCTTATTGCCTGAGATAGCTGGAACAGCTAACTGTAAAGAGACTTGCCTGCAAAGACTTTGAACAGTTATGTGGAAGGTGACAAATGGATATAAGGTTAGTTTAATTTACTTGTGGGGTGTGTATGCATGCTGGGCAGTAAGGCTTTTCTCCAAGGGTGGAGAAACAATACAAGCCAGCGTGGATCATCAGATTTCCATCTGTCTGATATACAGAGCTGAAATCTTGGAGTCATACTTTTTATTATTTGTTTACTTTTGGTATAAAGAATGTCAGAAGAAGCAGGCAAGTGGAAGATAAGCTCTGAAGAGCTCCCAAATTGACTTTGTTTGTGACAAGTAGCTAGGGAGAGCTGTAACAGTGGGAGAGTGAGGGCCAGTCTTCCCGCTCCCAGTGGAGGGTGCATGAATTCATGTGTCTGCCTGTGATTTACTTTCTATGTGAAATTAGTTTGACATCCGAGACAGCAGAGGAGCTGGCTACGTAGATGACTAAGGAAAAGAGACTGATGTGCCAGCTGAGTTAGGGTGAACGAACCTAGTGCATGAGAGAATGGTGAGATGAACGCTGTAGTCATAAAAGTGTATTTTTCATGGGCAGAAATGGCATTTGTCTGTCTTGCATCATCTTTCCTATGACTGCATTTCTCATGGAAAGTCAGTGGCAGTTACAGTGACTATGTTGAACAGTTTCATAAATGATCCTGCTGTCAGTTTGCTCACAGTGTGGTCATTAGCCCACTAATTAACAGAGCCAACCTGAACCTGTGTTTTCAGCCTACTTTACTGTCAGTCTGTGGTGGTTAGTCAAGTCCACTCCAGCAAAGCTTGTATTTATGAGGCAAAAAACCCCAGCTGTAGCAGCATGATCTGGGAAGTAGTGTTAACATAATTGTAAAGAACATATGATACAGATCTATAAAATACTGCTATTAGTTATTGATATGACTGTTTCCAGATTGTTTGGGATGTTTCATGCATCTGTGCTGGTGAACAGAATTGGTGAACAGAATTGAGTACTTAAGATGATCCTTATGGGTGGAGCCCATATCTGGTGTACTCACTCACTGTAGGAAATTGCTGTGACATGTGGTGAGGCAGTGGGTATACTTAAAAGGATACTGAGAGAGACTGTCAGCTTTCTTAACAGGTGATCCATGTGATAAGTGTCCAAGGACAGGAAATACATATCTGTTTTCATTTTACTTATTTAATGGGTACAGTTTTGTGGGAAATTTTTGCTTGGGGTATTTTTTCTTTCCTTTTTTTAGTTTTCTGAGCAACTGGTGGTTTTAAAAAGGCATTTTAAAGAGGCTTTTAAAAGTTCTTCTTGCTGTGTAGGAGTGTTCTGTGTACAGAGAGCAGGATAAAATACTCCATTATCCTGTGGTGTTACTGCAAAGACAAATCCTGAGCCATAGGCACTGGGAATTGACTCAGTCATGGCCATTATCCAGCTGCCACAGGCTAAGAGCAGTGTGCCCTCTCCTGTACCCTGACATCTGGAGTTTAGAGCTAAAAAGATCATAGGCTTCTTGCAGCCAGAACATCTTACTAACAAGTGGCTTTCTGTGGTCAGTTTGCTAATGTAGTTTTATTCCAGAAAGCCTCTTTCTTCTGCAAATTAAAGACCCCATTTGTTAATTACTGTATTCATATGCTTTCTGTTCTAGACTAAATGAAATGTTGATCCCTCTTCAAATTGCTTTCAAATGACAGGAAGTGTTTTTCCTTGCCTTCCCTGTATCACCTCTAGTGTTTTTTATTCGTATCCTTCCTTTCTTCCTCTTCCACTACTGCGATCCTTCATGGCCATATTGCTTATGGTTTTCATTGTCCTTGAGAGGAGCTCTCTCTACAAAGGAAAGGTTGCAAGTTTTTGAAGTGGAACGTGAAAGTAGCAAATCAAATCCTTTAGTGCACTGAGGATGAAAATACTGTTCTAGGTCTGGCAAGGGTTCAGCCATGTTGGGTTTTTAACTTCCATTTCTAATTTTTAAAGCAAAACTGGGATAGCTGAATCTCTGCTGAACATATACTTTCGCCCTTCTTTCAGCAAAGGAGAAAAGTAGTACCAGAACAAGGTGACAGGAGAGGCTTGGACCCAAAGACGTTGATTCATGACTAAATTAAAATGTTTTAGTTGCTTTTAATGTTAAAATAGTCCTTGAAATGCAAGCTTTAGCTGTGCTTTTACAGCTTTTGCAGAGCTCTTTGTTTCTCTATGTGCCTGGATGTACAGCTAACTTAAATGTGTGACTGCGTAAGGAAGGGTGACTTCTTAACCATTATGTATCAGACCATCACTGGAAGCAAAGTAAATGAATGTCCTGACTGGGTCTGGCACATGTTAGCTTCCTATTTCACTTTCCCTGCACAAAAAGATAAGAGGAATGCAGGCCTTTCCCTTTATCTCACACAGTAATAATGCACCTCAGCAAAGATTTGAATGGGCTGCAGGATTATTAGGATTGTAATGTCTTGCTTTCCTTTTCAAGTAGGATGAAACTAAATGTAATCATCTGTTGGGTTAGATGAACACAATGGGTTCTCAGCTGCAGGCTTTCATCACAGCAGTGATCTTGTATGATTTGGCCTGGCAGGGCTCAGGGCTCACAAAAATTTTGTAGGTGTCAGATGTTTGGCACTCAGAACTGACCACTGAGCGCTGTTGTCATATTTGTGTCTCCCTGCTTTCTAGTCTTTCAATTTTAGAACACTGTCACCATTTTCAGCATTTGATATTTAGAGAAGGCTAATGAAAAGCTGCTTGGCTAAGTCAAATTTCAGTTACATGGGCTTGAGCAACAGTCTGCTCAACTGCTGCTATGTGCATTCTGGCAGGATCATGGTGCAGTCTAGCAGGATGTTTGCTCAGCTACAGAGCTGGGCTTTTATGGTCTTGGTATTTTCTAGGAGCAAACTGACGGTGTGGTGTGGCTGCTGCCTTCACTGTGACTGTTTTGCCGAGTTCACTTCTGGAAAAGAAAACACAATCAAGCTTTAAAACTATGCATCTCAACTTCACAGAATATTTTATAAACAGCATATGGAGCAGCCACTGCAGCCATGCTTACTGTGCTCTGGTCAACTGCTTTTTGGAATTTTTCAGTCAACAGTGTGCTATACACTATAACCCCTTTGTTTCCCTACTCGTAATGCTTTGTTTTAGGCTGTCCTACCAGAGAAATGATGATGATGAGGAAGAAGCTGCCAGAGAACGTCGCCGACGGGCTCGACAGGAGAGGCTGCGGCAAAAGGAAGAAGGAGATCTATCAGGAGAAGTAACGGAGAAATCGGAAGTTAATGCCCAAAACAGGTAAATATCTGAACTTGTGTACTGACAAGTTGACAGTAATTTTTGTTCATAGCAGAAAAGTATCCTGAAGAGGTCTGTTTTGCTACTTAAATTTTAAGTATGAGGTTTGACCTTCCTTTTTCTGAAGAGGACCTAACTCTTTGAGGATACCACTGGCTGTGTCTACACAGTGGGTGGGAGCATCACTGAAGCTGGGCTTGAGGCCATGCTCATGACCTATTCTCAGGGTGTCCTCAGGGTTGTCTATGGGGTAACTCAGCTGGGGTTCATGGAAGGAAATACCTCTGATGCATCCTGCTGCCAGATTCCCTCAGTCATGACTGCATCTGGCCTTGCAAACCTCCACACCTTTTGTCCTGCCTACAGGAGCCATGGTGTCATGCGGCCAAGGCACATGGGATTGGTGGGCACCCAGGCCTCAAGTTGCAGCTGAAATATGCCTTCAAGGTGCTGGGTGTGAGCGCTAGACCTCAGCCCTCATCTGGCATCGTCAGTCATACAGCTAAAAACAGCAAAGATGCTTACTGAATGAGGTGCCACTTGTCACAAGCTGAGTGGAAAGAGCTAGCCTTCCAGTCTGCCATCATTTATTCAGTTTCACATAGCCACAAGAAATATATCCAGATTTCCAGTAACCATAACACAATTGCTAGAAGAAACCAGAAATAAACATAATGATATCAATCTAATAGATACTGAGCATAAGCAGCATTCTATTAAAGACAAGGAGAATGGATATAGATAGGAAAACAACAACATTTCTGACTTCTCTTTGCACAATAGAGGAAAAAAAAAAAAGCTAGAAAGAGGGGAGAAACCTGCACACAGGAGAATCAAACACCTAAATTTTGAAGAAGTCAAAAACCTCCAGGGACTGTGAGCAAGATCCAGTCCTGAGTCCTACAGGTGTTGAATAGCATGTCTTAAACTAGGAGATGTGCTCACTCCCTTTTCTAACAGGTTGTTGTCTCTGTACAGACAATCACAACCACACTGCACCCTTAATTGTCAGACTATCTCATTATGGACTGTATCTGTGGATGTTGTTGCTGAACAGGAGTACCTTCTTGATGCCAGAGAAGTTCACTGAAGTCAAAGTATCTTGCTTGTGTAGCACCTTCAAAAATTTTGCCTGGTGGGAAGACTGTGCATAAGACATGTATGCTTTATGCCAAGCCGAAGGGGCTCTTAAAGCAAGCTAAGGTCTTCCAAGTATTCTGCTGCAGGGTGCAGAGGGGGAGGGTGGATTTTTCAGGGCTGTTTTTATTTCAGCTGCTCCAAGCGTCAGGGACTGTTCCAGTGCCTACTGAGGTCAATAAGACTTCTGAGGACTTCAGCGGCTGTTGGAGCTGGCCTGGAAGGGAACCTTTCCAGGTTCTGACATTGTGAAACAGTGCATTCCTATATATGAAGAAACGCCAGTATAAATCCCCAAACCATTTTGCTAAATTTTGAAGTATGCAACCTGTTGTGTTTTCAAATTATGGAGTAATGTTATAGCAATCTTTTTTTTGCTAGAAACAGCAAAGCTTATACATTGTTAGAAAGATTTTTTTTTTTTAATGCAAAATTTTCACTTTTATGTAGTGTGGCAGAAGAGGAAACCAAGAGTAGTACAACTACAGGGGGAACAGATGATGAAGCTGCATTGTTGGAGAGACTGGCAAGACGGGAGGAGAGACGCCAAAAACGTCTACAGGAAGCCCTAGAACGTCAAAAGGAATTTGACCCCACAATCACAGATGGGAGCTTGTCACTGTCCAGCAGGAGAGAAGTAAACAATGTGGAAGAAAATGAGACCACGGGGAAAGAGGAAAAGGCTGAAACACGCCGAGGACGCTATGAGATTGAGGAAACGGAAACAGTTACTAAATCATACCAAAGGAACAACTGGAGGCAAGATGGGGAAGAGGAGGAAAAAAAAGAAGAAAAAGACAAGGAGGAGCTACAGGATGAGAAGCCAAAGGAGGTCCTCGTAGAGGAAAATCAGGTAGATGTGACGGCAGAAAAATCCACAGATAAAGAAGAGGTAGTAGAAATAAAAAATCTAGCTATAAATGCACAGGAACATAAAGCAGAGAATGATACAAATGCTGTGCCAGAAGGGGAGCAGAGTATAACTGATGCTGTAGATAAAGAGAAGCTTAGGGATGAGGAAAAGGCTGAGGAAGAAAGTAAGAAAGCAGAAGAAAGGGAGCAACTTGAGGCAGAAGAAAGGGAGAGGTTAAAAGTAGAGGAAGAAAAGAAGGCAGCTGAGGAAAAACAGAAAGCAGAGGAGGAGAAGAGGGCAGCTGAGGAAAGAGAGAGGGCTGAAGCAGAGGAGGAGAAAAGGGCAGCTGAGGAAAGAGAGAGGGCTAAAGCAGAGGAGGAGAAGAGGGCAGCTGAGGAAAGAGAGAGGGCTAAAGCAGAAGAGGAGAAGAGGGCAGCTGAAGAAAGAGCGAGGGCTAAGGCAGAAGAGGAAAAGAGAGCAGCTGAAGAAAAGGCTAAGCTAGAAGCAGAGAGATTAAAGGAGAAACAAAAGATGGAAGAGAAGAAATTAGAAGATAAGCAGGTAAAAGAGAAGAAAGTACAAGAGGAAAAACCTCAAGCAGCTTTCCTAAGAAAACAGGTACAGTAAACATTTTGCACCAAAATAATACACCTGTGGTTTGTGAGAAATGTAATGCAAGAAAAAAAAAAAAAAGATTGAATTGGAATTTCCTCACAGCTTTCTCTATTCGTGCATTGAGATGACTAACGTTCATACTCTCTCTCACGCGCTCTCTCTCTTTAAAATAAAGCTCCTTAGTTCTACTTACCAATAATGCATTGCACAACATGCCCGACCTCACTCCATCGTTCAAAGAAAACCTTGCATGTTCAGACCTCTGCATGTTTTGTTGGTGCTTTTTTTCTCAGCTGCTATAAACTGGCCTAATGCAGTAACACATGAGGTGGAGGCAGACACATCTTGGCACAAAATATTATGAGCACCTGGTAAACTGTGTGAGGAATGTGTGTGTTAAATGCAATCACAAGAGAGGGCTGTCTGCTGGGACATGTGAGCATGATGCCATGCAAGTGAGAAAGGCTCAGATGGGAATTTGGAGAGGGTGGAGGGAGCACAACTGCACACAGAGACGTGGGCACAGCAGCATATGATGAAGATGTGGCTGCACACAGGATTGGTACATGAACACAGTGTGGAAACAAAAGTTCAAAGAGATTTGATGTTTTCATATTAAAAAAAAATATTAAAAACCCAATATCAAAGGGGGAAGAAAAAGAGGTTAAAGTGGAAGCTAAAAAGGAAAAATTACCAGATGAGAAGCTCCGACCCACCTCCAAAAAAGATCAGGTAACTTGTAAACCATTGCTTTAGATGTTGTAGGG